GAAACTCTACTGTTTCTGTAATCTTATAGTAACAGGAACTTATTTTTCTGTAATCTTAACATAAACAGGAACTTTATTGTCTCTGTAATGTCAATGTAAACAGGAACTTATTTTTCTGTAATCTTAACATAAACAGGAACTTTATTGTCTCTGTAATGTCAATGTAAACAGGAACTTATTTTTCTGTAATCTTAACATAAACAGGAACTTATTTTTCTGTAATCTTAACATAAACAGGAACTTTATTGTCTCTGTAATGTCAATGTAAACAGGAACACTGTTGTTTCTATAATCTTAATGTAAACGAACTCTGGTGGTCTGAATAAACAATTTTCTTAGCAGTTTTAATTTACTGTATAGTTTTCTTATATAATTCAAATGCACAGATGTGCAAAATTCAGTAATTACATAATCAGTCAATTCTGATTTATACACTTTGTGTGAAGTTAACACTTCAGAATTTTTTTATAGTGCCGCCATAAAAATATTGAAACAAGATTCCTCTCACAAACCACTTTTTTTTACAGATTTTTATAGTCATATACATTTCAAAATTAATTAATTAACAAAATTATATCTCCTAAGTTATTGTGTTCCATGCTAGAGATTTTGTATTTAGAATATGAATTTTTGAAATAGTTGAACTGATTACATGTAAGTATAAACATATTTTCTTCATAAGAAATAAATAAAATAAAATTTCTTTAATATCTCCCTCTAAACATTTCACTCCTTTGGGTTCCTCATAAGATCAAACCTTGTTCTAGTAAAAGTTGAACTTATAATAATATACAGCCATTTGTCTAAGCCTAAAAGTAAAAGTTTTAATTCAAATCTATTTCTAAAAATCTAAAAGTAAAAGTTAATTTACACTTCTTTCTCTAAGCCTAAAAGTAAAAGTTAATTTACACTTCTTTCTCTAAGCCTAAAAGTAAAAGTTAATTTACACTTCTTTCTCTAAGCCTAAAAGTAAAAGTTAATTTACACTTCTTTCTCTAAGCCTAAAAGTAAAAGTTAATTTAAATCTATTTCTCAAAATCTAAATCTAAAAGTTAATTTATACCGGTTTCTCTAAGCCAACAGAAGAACTTTTTACCATAAGAGTAACCTTACACCTAAAAGTAGGTCATTAAATACTGTTACCTTAGCAAGGGGTAGGTCTAACATGTCTTCCTCCATGAAATCAATGTCACGGGATGTCACTATGCCTACCAGTTTGCCACCTATCTGCCCATTTTCTGTAATTGGAATTCCACAGAAGCCATGTTTTTTCTTTACATCAAATACATCCCTTACTATATCATTTGGACTTAGAACCACAGGATCTCGAATAAAGCCATGTTTATATTTCTGGAAAAAATTTCATTCTCTCAGTATAATATGTCCACCGACATCAAACATATAGTAGTACACACAGGTGTAAAAAAACCTAAAGGATATTACTTTCTGATCAATTACATTTCCACTTATATATTAGTGTAGTAATTAGGATATATTTCATTTTTCATTAATTATATCCTCAATTTTGACCAACTGAAAAATGTTATTGAAATCCTTCAATCATCTACTTTACTTATACTACCTTTGTAGCTTTTCGGTCCTCTAAGGTCTCTATAACTGATCCAGACAGTTGTCATCCAGTTCACTTTTGGTGCATAATCATGTTTTTAGTTTAGGCAAAAAGTTAACTGAAGAACATGAATAATAAGGAAAACTGTGTAATATATATATACACTTTGTGTGAAGTTAACACTTCAGTAAGGAAAACTGTGTAATATATATACACTTTGTGTGAAGTTAACACTTCAGTAAGGAAAACTGTGTAATATATATACACTTTGTGTGAAGTTAACACTTCAGTAAGGAAAACTGTGTAATATATATATATACTTTGTGTGAAGTTAACACTTCAGTAAGGAAAACTGTGTAATATATATATATATACTTTGTGTGAAGTTAACACTTCA